TAGATCATTTATGTATATATATATACCCACAAAAAGTCAGTCTAATGTGGATAAGTCCACTGGACCACCATTGTCACTTAAGTCTGAATTGTTGTAAACATGGGATTGAATAACAAAAAAGTATCGCACAGGAAGTCAGTCTACTGTGGACCCCGTCCACCACTGTCACTCAAGTCTGATTTGTAAACATGGGATTGAACAACAAAAAAGTCAGTCTACTGGTCACAGTCTGATTTTGTGGAAAGAATAATTTTATATGTACAATATTGATTAACAACATTTTATTTGGTATCATCATATCCATCTATTTTAAAAAATTATTTTCTACATCACGTGATAAATGATAAAACAATAATGTCCATTTTTCATTTTGGACGTCCGATTTACTGTTCGGTGAGATGTAAATTAAGTTTTGAGAGTGCTTGAAATTTTCATATGCTTAAGGTAAAACCCAAATTTGAAGACATTTTGAACAAAATGGAAGGTTATTTTAGCTAATTTGTAGTGGGTTTGAAATAACTAAAGACTATCTACATTTCACAAAATCAATAAGAAATATAAAGAGAGCAATTGGATGAAGCTAACGAGTTTCGGGAATGAAATTCAACTTATGGAAAGTTAAGGGGACTAAATTACACACTTTTAGAACTTGCAATGACCAACTTCGAATGATTATATAGGTTCAGGGACCAACGTGGAAGCTTTTGGAACAATGGGGGATTAATTTTGAAGATGAACGAAAAATGACCAAATCGAACGAAACACTTGAAGTGGGGACCAAATTGGATCATTCTGAAAATAACAGGAGCTGGACCGCTGCAATCATACTACGGTCACAACTATGGAAGATTTTGGGCGTGGCCTGATTTGAATTTTTTCTTTTTACGGGTTTTCTTATTATTTTTCGAGGTTTTTGAAGATTTGTTTAGGTATGCCTTTCGAGGCGAGACATAAACTATCTAAATACCTCTTCTAAGTTGAAACAAGGGGTTCGAGAGTAGAACATTAGAGGAGAAAAAGGAAAAAATACCTTTAAGAGTTTCAAGATTTTACAAGAAGGTGAATTCTTGGTGCAAAATTTTCATATTTTTTTTCTCCTTTTTTCTTTAAATCGTTTTGGTATTTTTCTTCTCCATGACATGTAATTGAAATAATAAGTCAGGATGAATGATGTAGTTTAAATTTGAACCTTAATTTTAATTATTATATGTTGATCGTCAATTGACGTTTGTGGACCGTTTTTACTTGTATTATTCATGACTTTGAATTACTTGATCATTAATTCATTGATTTATGAATAGTAACAAATCAAAAGATGAGTTACATGTTTAGACCACGTAGTAAGATTTGAAATTTGGGCAGAAAGTGAAGATACACTTGTACTAATTAATTGTTTGATTTTTCGCAAGTGTACGGTATCGCAAACAAGTAATAAAGTGATGAATGAAGTATCGTTCCTACGAGAACCATATTCTTAACCTAGTATCAATTAATGATAACATTAATCGAATATCAAAACTTGTTTGGAGAATGTAAGCCAATTAACTAACTAAACTAACAATTTTAGTAATCAAATTATGAGCTTTTGTAAATTTAGATGATAAGATTACTAAGACCTCAAATCTCTCTTATTAACTTGTTTCAATGCAATTAAATAAAATGACAATATGTGCATATTATCATTGATCAATATTCTTAAATTAATTAAAAGTATCTCTCAATGTCAATTAAATATATCATCTCGAGTGACCTTTATGTATCTTTATGAAAAATGCAAACATAAAGGCATGAATTAAAAATGCAAGAACAACTATAAAAATCGTGCAAAACATAGAGATATATCTCTATCCACTATCTAATTTTACAGTGGTTATTATAACGTGTTATCTATCTATTATTTCTCTCGAAATTAATAAAATTCACAATCAATTTAATTAGTGATCAAGTAATTAAAAAGACATTAAATCATATAACAATCATTCAATAATAAACATATATTGTGCGTCAAATTATCGAATTTAAATTAAAATATCGTAATAAGGGTTTATCAATATCTTAGTAATTAAAACTTAGCCCAGCATTATAAGATTGCAATAAATCATAATTAATTGGACAAAGCAAAACTCGAATGTTAGGTTTACGATGTAGAAGAGGATGAATCTTGATTTTGTTGATTTTCTCAAATTATTTCTTGATTGATTCTCTGAATTCTTCTTCTTGTTGCCCAAAAGTCAAGGTTGAAATTCCAATGGGTGATAATTTTTACAATTGCCCTTTATCTCTCGAAGAACAATGGATTAACCTCTCTTTTGTGGTAATAATATTTGAATAATGATGTATGAGATGTGTCATTCAATGGTCGCCAATGTTTTGTATATGTAAAGGGTGAAATTAGGTCAAGAATCACTAGGTTCCAAAGAGTTCCAATTGAAAAAAGGAACGTTTTGTTACACCCCGAATTTTAATTATATTTTTCTATGGGCTGAATCTAAGGTTGGGCATTTAACAAATGAATGGTCCATATCTAGCTTGATCGTCACACTAAAGTTCAAAAGTTGAAACGATAAACTCGACCCACTAATTTACACAAATGATTTGTTTTGCTTATGTATAATTTCTAAAATTTATCGTAAGTTATTTGGGTCGAGTATTTAAGTATTTTAGATGTCGATAAAAATATATGGATATTATACTCATTTTGTAGCTCGTAGTACAAAAACATAAATTGGCTCAAGTAGAAATAATTTTTTGGACTAGTCATATTCGAGTTATTTTGATAGAAAGAAAAGTAATTTAAATCCTATATTTTACTAATAAAAAAAATAATTATTATTATCATATATATGTGGGTGTGTGTATATAAAATATTAAATTGAAACGCCGTACGTTTCTTAGAAATTGGAAAGCCAAATCACTCATTTTTTTTTCATTTAATTATTTTTTATTCCTACTCCAACACTTAACCTTCCCATGATTGATTGAATATCCAACATGATCAATTTGAAATAAAGAATATATTAATTAATCAGTTGAAAATTTTCAAACGTGGACGCTTGGATTTCTAAACTGATACAAGTGGATATTATATATATAAAATGTATGATCGTGCTTTTTTCCCTTTA